GTAAACAGCGATACCCTTTGAATTCACCACTGATATGATTCGTTCCAACGAGCCCGACGATTGATATTCAAAAATCCTTCTCCATAGCAAGTGTGACACCACCGCAACGCTTGGTCGAGGACTTGTGCCTCCGCGTTGCACAGCAGCTGCTGCCTCTCCTGTCCGGATGGCACGCTGTAACCGGATGCGGAGACTTGGTTTCTGCACCGGCGGAACACATGGCGATCTTTCGCTTTCATGATGGACAAGGACAGACAGCACACCCTCGAGGCACGATCTTCCTGGTTGTTTGCTTGCTTCTATATGTTGCGCGTCAAATTGCTGGACATTAACAAGAAATGGCGTAGTCCTTTGCCCTTGGCGGTACATCAACACTCTTATATTGCAATCGGCGCAGACTTATGTAAGGCGCAAGGTATCGTGTGCACCAAGCCGGTCGAAAGAGATGGGCACCAATTGAGGGTTCTCTGAAGGGCGGACACAAATAATCTACGATTTAGCGACGCGCGAGAGACTCGTTGCGTTCATCGTACAATGGTCGGCGTGCGTGTTTATAAAGCGAAATGCTCCGACCATTCTCGAATCTCGAATAGAAGAATACAACTGCTCCGACGGGATTGGTCAACTTGGATTCTTCGATGCGTCGAACAATCCAAGTCCTCGAACAATTTTGAAAAAATAGGCGCTCGTGTCTCTCGTGGTGCACTCCCGACACTGTACTTGCGAGGACCGCAACACCTCGCACGCCCTTACCTTGCCTTGCGCGCCTTGCATGTACCGCAATATTGCGCTAACCATACTGCTGGTACAAGTTGTGGACGCGGACGATAAATTCGAACAATTTGCAAAGATATGGTATCGACCAATCGTACGACACCTCGAAGGCTATGGTGCCGTCGACGATCACATTTGAATTGGCCGAGGCGTGACAAGATCGCGAGCAGCGAGACGATGACGACGCCCGACACCTCTGCGCGTACAAGCGCTGTCAGTGACACGGACTGGATATACGACTCGTCCGAGGAGCACCATGCCAAGGCCGCGCAGATCATTCAAGCAGCGCTCGGGCAAAACCTGGCGCAGATGGAGATTCGGTTCCAAGGCCTCGCCATCACGGCCGACGTGACGGTGAATGCCAAGAACTCGCAAGAAATCCCAAGTGTGTGGACGACCTTGAAAGGCATGGTAACGTTCCAGAAGAAGCACGTCATCCACAAGGAGGTTCTCAAGCCCATGACCGGCGCGTTTCGCCCGGGCACGATCACACTTGTCCTCGGTCAGCCGAGCTCGGGCAAATCGTCGCTCATGAAGATCCTCTCGGGTCGCTTTCCGGTGGCCAAGAACGTGCACGTCGACGGCACGATTACGTACAATGGCCGGCCGCGGGCGGACCTGCTCCCTGTGCTACCGCAGATTGTCGGGTACGTCGGGCAGCGCGACTTTCACTACGCGACAATGACAGTCGAAGAAACGCTCGAGTTTGCGCATGAGTGCTGCGGCGCAAAAACCCTTCCACGCGAGCTCATGGATAGCTTCCACAAGGGTACGCTCCCATAAACAATAGCGTTTCGCATTGCTCACGGGGCTATGTAGGGACGGCCGAAGACAACGAGCGAGCCAAAGAGACTGTCCAAGCGTTCATCACCAACTTTCCCAAGCTCGTGCTCAAGACACTTGGGCTAAGTCATGTCGCCAAGACGATTGTCGGCGACCAAATGCTTCGAGGTGTCTCGGGTGGCGAGCGCAAGCGCGTGACGACCGGCGAGATGAAGTTTGGCATGAAGCTCGTCGATCTCATGGATGAGATCAGCACCGGTCTCGACTCGGCGGCGACGTACGATATCGTCAAAGCGAGCCGCACGTTGGCGCATACAATGCGCAAGACCGTCGTCATCTCGCTCTTGCAGCCGCCACCCGAGGTGTTTGACCTATTTGACGACGTCCTTGTGCTCAACGAAGGCCACGTCATGTACCATGGCCCTCGAACCAAAGTACTCGCATACTTTGAGGGCCTCGGGTTCCACTGCCCACCGCGGCGCGACATTGCCGACTTTCTCTTGGATCTGGGGTATGTCATGCCACGTTACCCAGCAGAATTGTCTCATGTAACGGTCGTAGCACGGACCAGCAGCGCATGTACCAGACAGGGTCGTCGGCCAATGTGCCGCGCACGGCGCACGAGTACGCGTCGAGCTTTCGCCGGTCGCCCATCTACCAAGACATGGTCACATACGTCAACGGACCCACGGACGGCAACTTTTACGAGCGCCCGTTCCCGAAATTCCGCCAGTCGTTTTGTGCGAGCACGGGCACCGTCGTGAAGCGCCAGATGATGCTCATGGTCCGCAACACGGCGTTCTTGAAGGGTCGCTTCATGATGGTGCTCATCATGGGGGTGCTCTACGGCTGTACTTTCTACCAAATGGACGTGACGATCGCCCAAGTCGTTGTCGGCATGATCTTTTCGGCCATCATGTTTGTGGCCATTGGCCAAGCGTCGCAAGTCAACACATTCTTTGCGTCTCGTGCCATCTTTTACAAGCAGCGCGGCGCCAACTTTTACCGCACGGCGTCGTACGTGCTCTCAACGTCGCTGGCGCAAATGCCCTTTGCGATCGGTGAGTCGGTCGTCTTTGGGTCGCTCGTCTACTGGATGACGGGCTTTGTCAACGACATATCGGCGTTCATCGTCTTCCTCTGCGCGCTCGTGCTCGCGAACCTCACGTTCGCGTCGTGGTTCTTCTTCGTGTCGTCGGCGGCCCCGAACCTGCTCATGGCGCAGCCCATGACGTTTCTCTCGATCCTCTTTTACGTGCTCTTTGCCGGCTTTATGATTGTGAAGCCCAACATCCCCGACTACCTCATTTGGATCTACTGGATCAACCCGCTCGCATGGTGTTTCCGCCTCCTCTCGGTCAACCAGTACGCCAACAGCGCGTATCAGACATGCATCTTTGACGGCATCGACTATTGCAAAACCACGGGCATGAACATGGGCACGTACCAGCTCAGTCTCTACGGCTTTTCGGCCAACCGGATATGGATCGTGTATGGCTTCATCTACATGGCGGGCGCGTACTTCGGCTTTATGGTGCTCTCGTTCTTCTTCCTCGAGTTCAAGCGCTACGAAAGCCCTGAGGGCACCAACGTCGTCGCCGAAGAGGAGCAAGCGCAGCAGGACGAAGAGTCGGGCTACGTCGAAATGCCCGACTCGCCGGGTCCGTCCTCCGCGATCGATGTTGCGCCGCCACCCCCCCGCGTCACCCCCGTCACGCTGACGTTTCAAGACGTGTGGTACTCGGTACCTGACAAGAACGGTGAAGACAAGCACCTTCTCCACGGTGTCTCTGGTATCGCCCGCCCGGGGTCCATCACGGCCCTCATGGGCTCGTCCGGCGCTGGCAAAACGACCTTGATGGACGTCATTGCTGGCCGTAAGACGGGCGGCACGATCCAAGGTCGCATCAATCTCAACGGCTTTCCAGCGACAAAACTGTCTATCAGCCGCGTCACGGGCTACTGCGAGCAGACCGATCAGCACTGCGAGTCGGCCACCTTCCGTGAAGCACTCGAGTTTAGCGCGTTTCTGCGCCAGTCCAGCGACGTCTCGGATGCTGACAAGATGGCGTCCGTCGAGGAGTGTCTGACCTTGCTGGACATGCACGGCTTGGCCGACACGATCGTCCGCGGGTCGTCTGTCGAGCAGATGAAGCGTACGTTCTATCTCTATCGCATCTATTGCGGGTGCTAACTTGACCTTGTAGGCCTGACGATTGGTGTCGAGCTTGCTTCGAACGCCAGTATCCTCTTCTTGGACGAGCCGACGTCGGGTCTTGATGCGCGGGCGGCCTTGCGCATCATGAAGGGTCTCACGCAGATCGCCAAGTCGGGCCGCACGGTCGTGTGCACGATCCACCAGCCGTCGTCTGAGGTGTTTGAGATGTTTGACCAGCTTCTCTTGCTCAAGCGCGGTGGGCACACTGTCTACTTTGGTCCGCTTGGCACTGGCAGCGCGCACCTCATCGAGTACCTCGAGGCGATTCCAGGGACGCCCGCGATCCAACCCGGGCACAACCCGGCGACGTGGATGCTCGAGATCATTGGCGCCGGCACGGCCTCGGCAACCGAGCAGCCCAAAGACTTTGCGGCTATCTTCCACGATAGTCTGGTCAAACAGTCGCTGACAGTGCTCCTCGACGCCGAGAATGACGAGACGCGTCAGGAAATGGTATTTCGACGCAAGCGGGCGGCGCTGCCGCTCGTTCAGATGCGATTTGTGCTGCTGCGCTTTGCGCGTCTCTACTGGCGCACGCCGTCGTACACGCTCTCGAGCGTCCAAGTCAACATTTTTCTCGCGCTGCTGTTCGGCATTGTCTTTGTCGATGCCAAGTACACGACTTTCAACGGGCTCAACGCCGGCGTCGGCATCGTCTTCTTGGCCACGCTCTTCATCGGCATCATGGGCTTCAACGGCGTGTTGCCGCTCTTCATTGCCGAGCGCAACTCGTATTACCGCGAGCGAGCGTGCCAGACGTACAACGCGTTCTGGTACTTTATTGGCTCCACTGTCGTTGAAATCCCGTACGTCCTGGTGTCGGTCAGCGTCTTTGTGACCATTTTTTATCCATTTGTCGGCTTTACCGGCGCGGAGCAAGCCATCTGGTTTGCTGTCTACCTCTTCTTGTACGTGCTCATGCAAGTCTACTTTGGCCAATTGTTGGCGTGCGCGCTGCCGTCGATCGAGGTGGCGAGTGTCATTGGCGGCCTCCTCAACTCGATCTTCTTCCTCTTCATGGGCTTCAACCCGCCGACGTCGCAGATTCCGGCCGGGCTGCGTTGGCTCAACACGATTGTTCCACCGAAATACGGGCTCACGCTGCTCGTGACGACCGTGTTTGCAAAGTGTGATGCGCCGGGTGACGCCGACCTCGGGTGCCAGCCTCTTAGTGGTATCCCGCCATCGTTCTTGGCGACGCGCTTCCACGGGCAAAAGACGCCCGTGACGCTCAAGCAGTACGTCGAGACCATGTACGGCATGAGCTACGACGATCGCTGGACCAACATGCTCGTGCTCATCGGCTGCATTATCGTCTTCCGCGTGTTGGGCCTCGTCGCGATGCGCTTTGTCAACCACCAAAAGAGATAGATGGCCTTTGAAGCGTCGGCATTTTCACTCTGCATGTGCCTCTAAACGAAATATACATGTGAAACGATCGACAATGTTGGATTTCAATAGGGAACACATATTGTCTCAATTTCTTGGGTTTAGAAAGCCTGCAAAATGCGCTCACGTAATTTCGTGTCGGCAGCAAAACCCAACGGCAAATAGGGTTGCTTAGTCTCGCACCCAGTAGCTTCAGTTGTCCACGTTCTTCCTTCGGTTCTTACCTCTGCCCTCGCCTCCTCTGCCCTCGCCTCGTGCCGTACGAGTGCTGGGATCCGAACGTTATCACTCGTGTAGAGTATACCATACGTGCGCTATGTGTCTCGATCTTGCAAATCTTGAAGCGGCGCCTGTCTAGCAAGGACGGCATGCGGCATGCGTTCATCCTGGTCCTTGCTCTCTGCAATGGTACGCCGCTGTCGGCCAATGGCCTCTTCACGAGTCGCGTAGCAGTCGAGGCGTGGAAGCAGTGGAGCTGGGTTGGCCCTGGCCCCGGGCCTCGCCGCGGGCACTCGCTTGCGCTCTACAAGTACGCCGCCGTGTCTTTTGCGTAGTTATAACACGATGACAGGACCCGCGCTGTGGTGTTTGGCGGCCGCGCCGACGACACGACTGTGGGTTCGACCATAAATGACACCTTTACCACCAGATGCGCAGACGCCACATGTGCCCAAGACATATGACATTACCCAAGTGCAAGGCCAGATCCAGTTTTCTACTTACACGGACGAGCCAGGTGCGTGGATAGTCTTCTTACATTGCTAATGCGCATCGCGTAGTGCTCTCGACGTGCACGGACAGCACGTGCACCGTCCCGATTGGCAGCTATTACAACGACGTCTGGTCCTACGACATCAGTGCGATTAAACACTACGTTTCGAGACTTGCTAACGAATCTTAGACTGCACGCGGTACGCCGACGAGAGCTGCCGCGACAAATCGTGGACGCAGCTGCACCAAGGCCAACCGTGGGGAGGTTCGATCCACTGCTCCCGTGATCGTCGCCAGCACGTTCGCTCTAGGCTGTCACATGGTCTACGGCGCGCTCATTTGCTCGCACCCAGCGGAACGATGGTCGACACCTCGCTTGCGCTACGCTGCTACACGATGCTGTAGGTTTCACAAGGCCGAGGTGTACCAAGACCACATGTTTATCTATGGCGGGTACGGACAACTGTGCACCGACTACTGCGATGACATGTGGTAGGCATTCTTCGTTGACACTTGGTCTATTGCTACATGGCAAATGTAGGCGCTTCAACTTTGAAGACAATACGTGGACCGAAATGGCGGCGCTTGGGACCTACTCGGTCCAAGGGCCTGGGAAGCGCTGGAAGTTTTCGTCGTCCGGTGACGGCACCAACATGTACATCTTTGGCGGCTATCGCATTTGGCACGGCTTTGCGCCCCAAAACAGGTAGAATCGTGTTCATGCTTTTTGTATCTATGGATATGCGTCTAGTCGCGCCAACCGCTGGTCGGACCATACGATCTACCCCGAGGGCGGGTACCTTGCCGACTTGTGGCAATTCAATTTTGGTATCGCAGCCTGTTGGAATACGTGTCAAAACAATGGCCTAGCGTCGCTGACGTGGTCCCAGCTGCAACCGGAAGCCACTTGTGTGCCCGAAGTCAACGCTGTACACTATACATGTATACATGCAAGGACGGTAAACAAAATTGCCTATTGTAGGCAACGATATGTACACTGACGTGGCCGCCGCCCCGCGCCGGACACGCCTCGCTCCTCTACAACAACCAACTGTAGCGCCGACCTCCTCCCGCACTAGTTGCTCATACTTTGCTTCTGCAGCTACATTCACGGCGGGTATCAAACATTCTTCCCGTATCCCATCACAAGCGGCGCCGGCGCCGGTCGCGCCACGTTCTCCGGCTCGGGGCCAGGTACGCGCTCGAATTAGTGTTTTTTTCGAGTGTTTCTATATCTTGTTGGGACCTTGCACAAATAGTCGTGTAGGCTATACGCCGTTTCCAAGCAACCCCTACTACCTCGACGATCTATGGGTCTACGACCTAACGACTGGACGGTGGACCGAAATCACTCCGCTCTTCAACGTCAAGCCAGGTCCGCGCACCGAACATACCATGGTAGGCGAATTTACAAGTCTTTGTTGTCGATACGTTGAAATAGATTGCGGCGGGCGCAGTGTTTGTGCTGTTTGGCGGGTACCTCTCCAACTACTACTACGAAGACACGTGGCACTTCAACTCGAGTGCGAACTTGTGCGCTCCTTGCAGCTCATGGACGCGTAGCCGGAAATCAATGGCTGCAGCAAACTGCTTTTGTCCACGCGCTGTACCCACTCAACTGCACGGACGACTTGGCGGCGCGGGCCGATGCGTTCAGCGGCACGTATCGGTACGCATGTGTACATAGTTGTCTTCTTTTTTAGGGCATTTTTAGACCGTACGTGCCCGACAATGCGTCGTACAACGCGACGCCGCCCTTGCTATGGGCCAAGCAGCTACACTACGGCACGACAAAGTTTTCTGTGATGGCAGATCCCGAGCGCTGTCTCGTCGTCAACCCCCAAAGTATAAGTCTCTTCGCTATAGCATTAGAATATATAGCAAACACGTCGTATATAGGTGCCTTGTACCCGCAGGCACGACGCCAGGCACCGGGCTGGGACGGCTGTCGCGACCGCGCCGACAACCGGTACGATCGCCATCGTCGACTCAAGAGAGCATTCTCAATACGTGTGCTAGCACCGACTTGCCGTGGGATCTGCAATGGTCTCGGCCGTCCCAGCGCGCAGCCCACATGGCAGTCTTCCACAAGGTCCGTTGTCCCCACGACATGTGCGTCTTTGAAACGCGGGGTTAGGGTTACGAGTTGATGCTGCTCTACGGCGGCTATGGTTGGCGTTGATCGACTCGGTGTAGCCATCAAAATGTACATTAGGTGTGAGTCGCGATGAGCTCTACGCGCGCAATACCACGACGCCGGCCTACACGTACGGGGACTATTGGTCGTACAGGTTTGCGCTCGCTCCAGCATGGCTTCTTCATGAGCATGTAGCTTGACCAACTGCATCAAAAACTGCTCGCTCCACGGCGCCTGTTCGTACGGGCGCTGCATCTGCAACGAAGGGTACTATGGCACCGACTGCTCCAACTCGTACGCATGACATTCCTGTCTATCTATACCAGCTCATATTTTGTACTAGGTCTTGTCCGGGCACGGTCTGCGATTTCGACCAAACGACTCAGGTCACGTCCTGCACTCATTGCTGCTTCTCTGGTGTCTCGACTCTCGTCATCTCATTCGCTCATGCTTGACGTTTAGGCTTTGAGCACACGGACAATGACACGTATGTGCCAGGCATTGAGAAGCTACCGTGCACGGCCGATAACGTCCACTACTCGAACGGGTACCTTTCTTCCGGCTTTCGCTTCAACTACTGGTATACTTTAGCATCTGTGACGGGTTTGGACAGTGCATTTGTCGTCCGCCCTTCATTGGGGTACAATATTGTCATGTGACGAGGAGGATCACGCTGTTTGTAGCAAGACTGCTCGATACGGAACTGCGGTCGCAACTGCTCGGGGCACGGCTACTGCAGCGTCGAATTTCCCAACTCGCGCTGTCTCTGCGATCCGGGCTGGCTCGGCAAGTACTGCGACGAGCAAGTGTGTTTGAACAACTGCTCGTACCCGAACGGCGTCTGCGTCAACGGGTCCTGCTACTGCGCGTTGCTCTACGAACCGTACAACAAGACGCTGGCGTATTTTCCCTACATGGGCGACGACTGCTCGTTCATGATGCCGTTTGCCCTCGCGACGAGTCTGCATCTTTCGTTCCCGCTGCTCGCACTTCTCGGCGTACTCGTCTTGGCCGTTGGACCAGCATAAGCTTGTCAATGCGATGTTCTTATCGTGTATGTATCGTATATTGTTGGCATAGAAGGAGAGCACGAGGTTCTGGCTACGAACCCACCTTGTCGCTCAAGAGGTTGCCCACGTCGGCGTCGCCCCACTCGTCCGACTCTGCAATGAAATGTCATGCCAGTTCAGGTTGGATTCGATATACCGTCTGCGCCTTTGGTGGCCTTGGACCCCGCGCTCTCGGTGTCTACCCAAGAGTTGTCAGAAAATACACAAGAAAATACGGAGCGTACTGCGATACATGGGCTTGGGCACAGCGTACTCGGACTCGGATTCGGCCTAGTTCCATCGCGGCCGAGCGCAAAGAAGCATCGGTCGTACCTCGGCCATGCGGTTGTTCTCCGGTGGCGACAGATCGTGGCTGCTCGACTGGTGCTGGTACTCGTGCTGCTGTTGGCCATAGATGCTTCCTACGAACGTAACGCGTGGCATCCTCTTCTTTGCATTTTCCACCGACCATCTTGGTGTTGGTTGTTGGCCTCCATCCGTGAGCTGCTGCGGGCACTTCCGCGACTGGACCCACGTTGGTCCTCGGCCGCTACGCTCGGATAAGCTCCAAGAGAAGCGACGGCGAGTCTACCCCGTGTCATAGCACCACCGCTGTTGGAGTTGGTCGCGTTCGTTTGCGCATTCACCTTGGCTGCATTTTCTACTCGAATTTTGTAAAAAATGAGATAAAAGAAGGGCTTTCATACCGCGTTCGAGCTTGGCGAGTGCTTGCTGGTGGTGGTCGTACTTTTGTCCGAGGTCCTTGCAGATCGCCACGAGGTACCGGAGGCACTCGAGGTTTTCCGGGTAGTCGTGGTGGATTTGCTCGTACAAAATGAGCGCTTTCTGGTATGCACCCATGCGCCGATGGCAACTCGTGACCATGAGTCGCCACTTGACCTACACCGAGTCGCACACAACTGGGGTATTTCGACAAGACGCGGACCTCGGACGGCTGGATCTGAGACGCGCGTTCGAAAAACTGGATCGCCTTCTCGTACAACTCGCTCTTGACGTACCAGACCTAGATCTGAGTCAGACGAGAGGCCAGAGACGACAATACGGACGCCGAGCCACGAGATAACGTCAAGGTTGACGGGGAAATGACGGTACGACTCGAGGTGGAAGTGGAATGCTTGGGTCTCGTCGTCGTCCTTGTTGTGAATCTGCCCGAGGCGAGCCAAGACTCCAGGGTCCGCGACACACTTGGACGAGCCAAAGCACGATAGTAAAATGTTGAACCTACCATGATAAAACTGTATATCGACAATATTGGACACAAACAAGACAAACCACTTGACGGCTTGACGGTAGTTGCCCATCATGTCGTTGAGATTGGCAATCTGATAGATGACCTATTTGCGTCACGTTGGCATCCCGTTTGTATCAAGTTGAAACAATAAGACCTCGGTGTTGGTCGAGACGATGCTATGGAGCTTCTCAAAAGCCTGGAGCGCTTCGTTGAGGACACCAATCTTGATGTTGACGAGTCTACAAGAATATGTTAGTCTCTTGTGCCATGGAAATTGCGCGGAAAGAGACCCGAGGTTGAAGATGGCTTCGATGCAGTCGGCTTCGACACCGATAGCTTCGAGGTACAACTCCTTGGCGCGCTCGCACTCGTTCTTGACGTAGAGGCAGTTGCCTGTGAAAAATCCATTTCAATCCGATTGTATCAAGTTGATACTACCCTTGTTGACCAACGCCTTGGCGTTGTAGCGTTGGTGGCGCACGGCGAGCGATGCAAACCTACGAGAATCGGGTTGTCACGACCGTAAATAGTGTGCGATTATACTTGTCGGCTTGGTTGTAGTCGCCTTCGACAAAGTAGAGAAAACTTAAATTGGTGGCTGCCATCGCTTTCAACGCCGGGTCCTTCTTCTCGAACGCTTTGAGCACCTCGATGGCCTTGTCGAAGTCCTTGTTTTTTAAAAAATGCAGCGCCTTGCAAATTTCCCTAATCCCCATCAATTCCAGAAACTATGAGACAATAGTGCTCACATTTCGCTTGCAATCGGCTCGTGGTCTTGCTTCATGGCGTCAATGACCCAGTTATAGCCCGCGAGCCAGTCCTTCTTGTCAAGCGCGGGTGCGCACAGCTTTGCAGCTGTCAAGATGTACTCGGTCGCCTTCTTTTGGCGCGCACGGATCTCGGCCTTGAGTCTACCGCACACTGTCAGCTATTTTGGACAAACTATGTCCACAACGCATCACCGACCCGTCCTTTTTTAAATGCACCGCCGACGACGGCGACTTGAGCTCGCCGTCTTTGCCTTCGTCTTCCTCGAGGTCTTCGTCGCCGACACCTACGGTCCTCCGTAACCCCAACCTCAATGTGGCAAGTACCTTCCATGGGGATGCCGATGAGGTTCTGGAAGCCCTTGCGCATTTTTTCGTGCTCGCCGATTGCGTAGTAGCAAATGATGAGGTTAAAGCCCGACTGGAACTCGGGGTTGCCCTCCATGATGTCCTCGAACGTCGTCGCTGCGTCCTGGTAGTGGCCGAGCTTGATCTGCGCCGAGCCAATGTTTTTTTTGATATTGTATCGAATTTCCTTGCTCGTGCTCGGGATCTGGTCGAGCGCCATGCGGTACATGCGAATCGCGGTCGGGTATTGCTGCTGCTCGTAGTAAATATTGCCCTATTCAACGAGGACGATGAGACATGTCGCATTTTTAAATGAAAAAACCATGTTGACGCGGAGCCGGCCGCCTTGGGGGTACTGCTTGTTCTTGACGATCGGTGTATAGCTCTGGATGGCTTCTTTCCACATGCCGTTGAGGTGGTATGCGTTTGCGAGGTTGAAGAACACCGCGTACGTCAAGTCGATGTTGGTCATGTCAGTGAGCCCGTGCGTCTCGCAGTGCTTGGTGAACATGCGCTCCTTCTTGCCGGCCTCTTTGGCCAACCGCAGCGCCTCTTCGTACTCGTGCTTGACGCTCGCCTCGGCGCTCTGCTCAATGTACGTGTTGACGGCTTTCTCGAGCTCGCGCGCCGTCTCTTTCGGCGAATTCTCGGCCTTCTCGGCGAGCGGTGGCGCCGGCGACTTGCGCGCTTCGCCCAGCGGATCAAACATGCGCTGGCCCGCGGCCGTCTTAGGATTCGACTACTCCACCATGATGCGTGACGCTACAGTGGACAGAGAGGGGCGTACCGAGTAGCCAGCGCCCGAGACCGACGTCATGGGTCGCGCCACGTCGCCGCCGCCTTGCTGTCCTGTCTGCAGTCGGCCCGTGGGCATTTGGCGGCCCATTTGCGACGGCGGCGCGCGGAACGCGGTGCCCGGCGGGTTCATGTTGGCGGCCTGGCCCTTGTTCATGCCAAAGTAGCCTTGCTGCTGCATGTTCATCTGCATGTTCATGGACGCCGTCTGAGGCGGCGCGAGATCGATCGAGTAGTTGAAGCCTTCGTAGAGGTCTTCGTCGTCGTCGTCCATCATCGCCTGCGCCCGACCACGGCCGCCCGAGTTGTACGCGTACGCCATGCTTCCTCCGCCGCTTCGAAACAATCTTTGCCGCGGCCGTTCGGTGCACTCGATGCCATTGGCCACTTTCTGGCCAATCACCACTCAATGCATTCACGGAAATAGTGTGTATTAAATTGGTGTTAAACGTGGCAGATGCCGCATCCATGTTGCCAACGCTGTGCTTCCTGGTAAGCTTAAGCTTACTACAATCTCTGAGCTCACACGATACATCACCATTGGCAGCCAGCCAGCACCACTTATATATGACTGGTGCAGCCCGTCCGTGAAAGCCCTATACGCTTTATGCGAGCTGTGTATTTGAATGATTCCCCCCCAAATCTCTGTAGTCGAATCGCTAAATTATATATATATATATGAACGTGTTCCGCGTTATCTTCATTAAAAAGACTTCGCATTCGTAGGAGTCGACACCAGCTCTTGGTCGCTGGGAGTGATCGCTAAATTGATCAACAAACACCATCGTCAACACAGTGTACGTCAAGGCGACGCGGACGAGTCGGGTAGCGACTCAAGCCGCTAAAATTTGTAGAGCGGGTCCACGCGGCTTTGGTACTTGGCTTTGGCAAAGGGCGTCGGCAGCAGGTGGTTCAAACACGCTTGGCCGAGGATCTGAATGCGCGCGTGGGGCGTAAAGTCGTACATGGCGTACTGCACCGTGCGGACAATATCGTGCGCCTCGACGCACGCTTCCCGCGCCGCCTCGTCGTAGAGGCACACCTTTTGGTTAAGTGCGACGAGACTGCGGAGCTGCACCGCTGCGTCGAGCGGATTCCGAGCCATGAGCGCTAGGATCTTGGCGATCTCCCACTCTTTTGTCGGCTTGTGAAACGCGCTGCGCAGCTTCTTGCGCGCAATTGCCTCCAAGTCGTCGGTGCTGCAGTGGTCCAGCATGTGCAGCCTAATGGAGACTCTTGTCAGTATCCATCGCCAAAGTATCCAATGCGATCCAACTATCCACCTACTTGTCAAACGTCGTCATGGCACTCAGGCGCGTATTGGCAGCCACAAAGTACGGCGTCAGCGCCAAGTGTGTGTACTTCAGCCGCGTCGGCGCCAACGGCGGCGGGTAGAGACAGAGGTCGACAAGCGCCGAGTTGGTCGGCCACTTGGCTCGCACGCGCGTCGCAAGTAACAGAGCGTCGTACTTGGTCCCTTGAATCGTTTGCAAAAGCACCCACGGGCACACGTGAAGAAGCTCTTTCGCTAACGCCGTCGCGCCGCGCAGCACCGCCAGGTGCAGTGGGAGGCAACCCGCGTCGTTGACGTGGCGAGCGGCCAATGGCGCGGCCTCCAGAATCGCTCTCAAGACGGCTATCTCCTCCGTGTACATGGCCGCGAGATGCAACGGGTACTCGTTTCGACTCGTCACCTCATGGGCCCAAGCGGGACACGTCGCGAGCAGCTGGAGCACAAACGTCGGTGGCAGTCGGTAGAGCAGTGCGTAGTGCAGCGGGTTGAAGGCTCTCGACGTGTGCACGGCGGGCACGTGCGCCATGGTCATCTCGAGAAGACGCAGCAAGAGACATGGCGAACACCCTTTTTTCATGGCCAAAAAGAGCGGCAAGAGCCGGCGGTAGACTTGGGCCACCGCACTTGGCTGGAGGGTGAGGAGCAAGTGCAGCATCGCTTCATGCACGCCGTGCACGAGGCCGAAATGCAACGGGGAGGCATTTTCAGACACCGAATCGATCGGACTGCCGTGATCAATGCAGTCTTGGACGATTTGGAGCCGTAGCGAAAGCGGTTGGCGAGCGCTACGCACGGCCATGTGAAGGGGCTGCTCAAAGTTGTGGTTGCGCAAGCAAAAGGCGCCGGGGCACGCCGCCATGAGGCGCAAGAGGAATTTTCGTGGCGCGTGGTGCTGCAACGCCAAGTGCAGTGGCGTCAAATGCGTCGACGTTGTGACCATCGTGCAGGTGTCGGTGCCCCGGGGTGCGTCCAAAAATGCATTCAACAGACGCATCGAGTCGCGCATGTTGGGCGACCGCGCCAAGAGGTGCGTCGGCGTGTGCCCCGTCGCATTTTTGAGCGACAGAACATCGTCATGCGCCTTCAAAAACGCGAGAATCACGTCGGGAGGCAAGGCCTCGCGCAGGGCGTAATGCAGCGTGTAGTCGCCGTGCTATCAATGAGGCGTCCTCGACCTGATATATATCATTTGACGTACGGGGCCGAGTCGCTTGAGCTGGCGCGGGTACCGACGAACGACCAGCTGCGCGAGAACATGGTTGTGCTCACGTAGTGCGGGCCATACGCCGCGCTGCAATCGCCGCTTGACGTGGCAAAGCACGTCATACATGAAGAACGCCGCGGTGCGGTACGTGGCCCGACCTTGCAGAGCCATCGTGGGCATGACGTTTTCGAGCCAGAGCCGCCGCCGCCGCAGCGCCAGCGTCGTGTGCTTGTCCCGCAGCGCTGTCCGCGGCGTCAAGATTTCGTGGTCACCGAGCAGCGGTGGCTTGTCGAACCGAACTTCTTTTGTGAGTCGATTGATGTAGTACGACGCGCCCGTGACACGGTCAACGTGGTGGACATACCTAGTCCAAAAGGCTCAGTCCGACCATTATATGGACACCAAATGTACCGCTCGTTGAGTGTCACAATGAGTTGTTGACGGGCCCGCTTGGCGCGGTACATTTTTTGAATGCGCTGCGCGGCATCCGCGAGCATCAGCAGCGTGATGAGCACGACGTCATCGAGCAGACAGCGCATGGTGTCGACAATGATAGGGTGAATCGCTGTGACGTTGATTGCGCCAAGGAAGCGAACGCGGCCGCCGTCGTACACTTCGGGCTCGGTTTCCTCTGGCAGTAGATCGCCGAGCTTGGGGGCAAGGAGCCGGTACTTGAGGTCCGAGAGCTTGTCCTTGATGCTCGCGAACGACACTTCGCTCAAGTCGATGGCTTTGAGGGACGCCAACAGAGACGTATCCTCTCTACGCAACCATCGTCATCAAGTTGGCTTAGAAATGGACTAGGACGTACTTTCCAGAAGCGCTTGCTGCCATCGCGTCGGCCAAGAGATGGCCGTTGACTTGAGCCGACTTGTTGATATCGAGCTCGCGGTGCACCGTGACCCACCACGCAATGAACTCGTCACAGTCCATTTGTCCGTCACCACTCGTGTCGATGAGTTGCATGAGGCGATGTCGCTCGGCGTCGGGCAATGACCAATTCAGCCGCGACAATAGGTGCTTGAGCTCGTTCTCGTCGATCGAACCTACTCGCAAATTGAGACGCTAATACCCTAACCCTTAAGGGCACCCGAGTGGTCCGTGTCAAACTGGGCAAAGAGCTGTCGCAAGGCGCGGATCGAGTCTTTGGTCATGGCGTGGTAGTCGATGACTTGGCCCGCGAGGGCTTGGGCGTTAAGAGTGGCGATCGACCGCCGCTGCATGCAAACCCACCACGTCGTAAACTCGTCGAGCGAAATGACACCGTCCCCGCCCGTGTCCATGCCAGCCAGAATCTGCGGCAAAAGCGCGTCGTCGACCGACTGCCCGAGCGCCATCAAAAGATGTTTGAGCTCCGCCGCATCAATTGTCCCTAGCCCCATAAATCTCGAATTGCATGTCGAAATACCACGAAAATACCGGAATTGTCTTCGTCAAATTGACGAAAAATACGACGGACATCGTGGCCACCCACGGACGCCAAGAGCGTCTGCATAGCTTCTTGAATGCCGGGTTTTTCCCACATGCGTTCGTTGGTGCGGCTGTTGATATAGACCGTTTTGCCTACAAGCGAGATATTGCTAAAATTTAAATATTGTAGGAATACCGTGCTCATCCTTGGATTCTATCCACGCATCGACGGCTTCTTGGGCCCGTTGTTCTTCGCGGAGTCGCTTCTCTTGGGCTGCACACGCTGTGTCGTAGGCGAGATACCTGGTCCATCGATTAAACCTTCAAACAAAAAATAGCATTTCATACCATTGCACGAAAGCTTCGGGGTCAACCACATGAGTACTCTCTGGGTCCAGATTGTGCAAGGCCTCCAGAAGGGCTTTGCCGCGGCAGACACGACCGAGCGCTTGTACCAGACTAGCAAAGAAATAGTGTAAAAATGTGAAAACTAGAGCAAAATGGACCGTGGAATCGCATTCGAATCGAATGGTGACGCTAGGAACACGGGAATCGGGACTTTCAAGTACGTAGCACAGAGGTGCCGGACGTGGTCAGCACGGGACAGCGTCTCTTGTTGTACGTCCCACTGCTCGTCCACAGCTTGCTTGGAGAGCCACCACGCTTGGAACTCGTCGAGGCTGACCAGCCCGTCGCCCGACGTGTCGATCGCCTAAACCATCTAAGTTCAAGAAAAATAGAACTCGGTACGCGAATCATGGCCTGCATGTCTGTCTCGTCGAGGGATTGACCCATGGCCGCGCACACGCGCTTGAGCTCGCTCACGTCCAATGTGCCCGTGTTGTCCGTGTCGTACTGCTGAAAGAGCCGTCGAATTTTGTCTTTGGTCGTCACGGTCGAGTCTACATGGCCTTTATAGCTCCACGCGACAAAAAGGAGCTATTGCACCCGAGCTAAACTTGTCCAAAAGCGCTTGGAGGTGCGACGTCACCTGCGGCGGTTCCCACTGACTCTCCTGCGTGAGCGGGTTGTAGTAGAACACTTGGCCGCTGCCTTCATCCGTGTATTCTTCCCAGTCGCCCAGCACCGCTTTCTTGTTGCAGCTGTGCATCCAGGCGACCACGGTGGCTTTTGAGGCCAAGTCGTATCCTGGCTCGAGGGCGCGGATCGCGGCTTCCACACGGCTTTGTGGCCAGTCGACGTACCCTAATGTCTTGAGGAGGGTCTGCAACTCCAGAGCGCTCAGCGACAGATCGTTGTCGACGTCCAACGAGGCAAAGAGCCGGTCGATCTTGCTTTCGATCGTGGCCCCAGGAGACTGGTCCAAGAACACGTGCAGTTGCGCAGGTAGCGCCGGCGGCATCCACGTCGTCACTTGGGTGCGGTCGTTGGTGTAGAAGACATTGCCAGCCTCGTCGACCGTCTCTGTCCACTCGGGAAAGTCGACGAGGCGTCGCCGCACACGCTGTGGAGCATGCGCGTACCAATACGTGTGCAGCATGTCATAGCTGATCCGTGTCGCGTCGCCCAAACCGCCTAAACACACTGTTGTTAGCGTTCGTCGACGGTGACACTGCGTAGCGACCAGCGACGTCGCGCATCGTCGATGGCATGGTTCCTTTCGGAGGCACGGGCAGACCTAGCGCGATCAGCATGCTGCGCCACTCATCGACGTCCAAGGATCCGCTTTGATCAATGTCAAAGCGCTGAAACCAACACTGGAGCTTCTCGTCCATCGACGACTTGTCGGCCAGCTCGTACGCCGCGAGGACATTTGCAATCAGATCTGGGAGCGCGTACACCACGTCGCCGGTGGTGTAGTCGTAAAAGTAGGCACTCCCGTCGAGCTCGATGACGTGTTCCCAGAGCCGCACAATCGGCGCTGCCTCGGCCATCGCTGTGTCATTGTCCTTGGACGCAAGACGCGCCTGCCACCAAAAGACAAAGGCGTCGAGCTCCACGACCAAGTCGCCGGCCGTATCCAAGTCGTACATGGCTTGTGTGAGCTCGTAGCTCGAGAGGACGACCCCGAGATGGCGACAGGCCGACTCCAAATCTGAGAGGTCGATCGTAAGGCGGTCCCGCGTCTCATTGAGAGGGTCGATCGCGCGAAATGCGCGCCGTGCGGCGTCGTAGTCGGCCATTGCACGGCCGTTTCAGCGTCGACTTGCGCTGTTTGCCCAGTCTCCCCCCACCACCATTTCACGATTCCGTTCGTTGCAGTCAGCTCTGCTTTGAAGCGCCCTTTTCACACGAGCCGAATGAGATTGTTCTCTCATTAGCAAGGGCTATTCCCTTGATCATGAGTCAGTTGGTATTGCCACTGGCAGTCTCTGGTTCGCAAGAACTCACTAGCTACTAGTACAAGTTGGCACCGCTTCGAGAACGTTTAGCATGTGATACTAGGGCACCCAGAATGGCTGAGGCAACAGCGATTGAGTCGCCGGGTGGATACGACGACAAGCCACGTATCGCATTAATAAGGCGGAAGAGCTGGACGCCATTTCTAGGTCGAGTGTGAAACGAATATCGACCAGCAGCACCAAGTGGTTTCGGTCCCGTTTTTAGCGCCTGCGTTTCAGTCGTGAAAGGACGTCGAGAGACAAATGCCTCGCATCGCGCCCACGTCGTCCGAAGACGCGGATGAGAAGCAGGACAAGGTGCGCCCACTCGGCGCGATTCCCGCCGCGTCACGCATGTCCTTCTCGGCGGGCAAAGCTTTGCGCAAGGCGTCGCTGCAGCCGGGCGCGGCGCCCACGCTCAGTGTCGACACGCCGGCCGTGCGCCGGTCGTCGCTCGGTCTCTCCACGTCCATGATCTACCCGCAGTCGCCCGCGGAGCGGCACGAGTCGGTCAAGGTCACGCGTGCGATGGAGGAGCGGTACGGCTTCAACTTTCTCACCAACGAGTTTTCAACCAACGCGAGCTTGGAGAAAGAGTACCAGGCGTACTGCACCGAGATCAACTTGAACCCGGCGTGCAACTCGAGCATCCTTCTCTGGCTGCTCTGGATCGTCACGAGCTTGATTGAGCTTCCAAAGCTCATTGGCGGCGATGCGGCCGAGCGGTCGATCTCGCTCACGAGCCTCCTCTTCTCGCTGCCGGTGCTCGTCGCTACGCCGTTCCTCGTCATTATCGTCCGCAACAAAAAGTACCAAGACCGCATGCAGCTCATCTTTTGCATTCTCGTGCACTTCTGTGCGTTTTCGCTTCTCGGGTCGGGCCTTGTGTGCGCAAGCCAATTCACCTTGCACATTGCGCAGCGCGACATTGGCGGAATCGAATCCTTGGCCGCCAACATTAGCGCCGTCGCGACTTCGTTCTGTGGGTACGTGGCGTCGGCCTACCCCGCTTCGTTTGTCGGCAACGTCACCGGCCAAGTGTTCGTGTCGACCCCGAACGCGCTCGTTGTGTACAATAGTGTCGCGCTCAATAGCTCGCAAAGCTTTGGTCTCAACAACTACTCGAGCTTTTGGAGTTATCCCGATCGGACCGGGACTCTCCAAATGACACTCGATTATTACGTCACCGACGGTACTCGTGCTTGTGTTTGCGATGGATTTATAACGGGATTTATGAAATTTGTTGTAGTCGTATTGCCGATTGCGCAGCTGAATGCGAATTTGGTGCGGCCGCTCATCATCCTCCTCATTGCGCCACTCTTCAAGCTCGACACATATTACTTTATCGCAACCGCGCTCACGACCAACTTGTGCTACTTTATCTTTCTATCGCTTGTGTTTCCCGTCACGTCCGACCAGTACCTCATTCGCAACAAATTTTACCTCGTCTTTGTGCTCGCGGGTCTCTCGTCCATCATGGCCATCCGCGTGCGCCAAACTGACCGGTGCGATCGTGAATGGTCAATATTGTCTTATGCTCTATTAGGTTTATGCGGCTCAATTTTCTGCACATTCGATCGGTTGAAGAGAAAGTGCGCATTGCTCAAGAGCAAAAAGAGCAAATTCAAAATGAAAACCGGTCCCTCAAACGCATGCTCGAAGCGCAGACGGGCCACGGCAGCGACGCGGTCTCTCTCCTCTTTTGGACTATAACCTCATAAATCTCTAGTTGGACCTCGACTCGCCGATGGCCAAGGTCATTACGGACCTTACCAAGATCCAGCAGTCGCCCAACCTCGACGCGGGGCTTCAGCAGCATCTCAACGAGATTGTGACCTTGCTCACCAAGCAGGGGCACAACCTCTTTGCGCCCGACATTCACGAACAGCTCAAGTTTGAAACGCAATTTCTGAAAAATGCAGTTGTAAAATGCTTGTAGAATGAAGCGCGAAGTGGACCTCGATGCGGATACCAAGGGCTGGGCCACGACCGTGCTTGCGAGCAAGTCGTACCAGCGTAACAACAACCGCCGGTCCTCAACGCAAAGCGACGAAGAGTCGATCCAGCCCGTGATGACGCTTCGACCCGAAGTGCGGCTGCCGGACGAAGCCATCTTGAGCAAAGTCAACGACATGATGAAGGCGGGTGGCTGGAACGTCGATATTCACGCGTATGTACTTGCTGCAAATTGTTTTATTGTTATGTCTTATTGTTATGGAAATCTGTCTTATCGTTGTGAATTTGTGTAGCGTCTCGGAGCTCTCGAATGGGAAACCGATTTCCTACGTGACCTACGTCATCTTCGAGCGCCACAACATGTTTAGCTTTTGCTCGGTCGAAAAACACACAATGATCAACTTTTTCTGGTTCATCGATGCCGGGTACCTCCCCAACCCCTATGTACGCTGTCGTACACGATGGGTGATTCTGGTTTTATCAAGGATTTTGTATGTAGCACAACAATTGCCATGCGGCCGATGTGGTCAACTACGTTGAGTTTATGATCTCGACCGTCGACAATGGCTTCTTCCTCACGCTCCTCAACATCCAAGAGGTGTTTGCCGCGATTGTGGCCGCCGCGATCCACGATTTTCGCCATCCGGTATGTTTTAGAGTCTTTACGAAAGCTCACGCTGCGGGTTAGGGCAAGAGCAACAACTTTCTGGTCAAGAGCCAGCACAGCCTGGCCGTGCGCTACAGCGACTCGTCCGTGCTCGAGCGCATGCACTTGGCCGAGTCGTTCTTCCTTGCGTCCGAGCGCGACTTCAACATCTTTAGGTGGGTTCCGCTCGTTGAACAATGTTGGTGGAGCACGTATGCCTAGTGGCATGAAGCCCAAGCAGTACACCGAAGTGCGCAAGGCCATCATCGAGATGGTGCTCACCACCGATCTCTCGGTGCATTTGCAGCTCGTCGGGTCGCTCAAGGCCGCGCTTCTCTCGCAGAACCGCAACGACGTGATGGACTCGCCCATGATGCTCATGAAGATCATCATCAAGTGCGCGGATGTCGGCCATTCGTCCAAGTCGACGCAGCTCCATGCGCGCTGGTCGGAGCTCATCATTGAAGAGTTCTTCCTCCAAGGCGACGAAGAGAAGGAGCTCGGCATGGAGATCTCGCCGTTCATGAACCGGTCGCTGGAAAACAGTGCCAAGGTATTCTAGCTCTATGTTGCACGTGGTCTTATGGTGGATAGAACCAACTGGGCTTTTTCGAGTTTATCATCTTGCCGTTCTTTGACGTTGTGGCCGAAATCGTGTTTACGCCGGGCTTCAAACCTATTCTGGACCAAGTGCACATCAACTACAACCTATGGAAGAAGGCCGAGACGATGCAGCTCAAGTCCATCAAGGACATCCTCGACCAAGTGTTTTACGTCGACGAGCACGCGACCAACTCGATGAGCCGAATATCGTTTATGCCAAAGCAGCCGCCGACGCCGAGCAGCCCCACGAGCAACGCGATCTCGTAAGATCGATTGCCGTGTATAATACAAGAGTCGATATATGCTTGCTTAAGCTATCGTCCATACGACTCACAGGCATCGGTGGACCTTGTCTTCGGTCGTAGGACGCGTGCGCGGTCCGCACCAGAACGCGCTCCAGTCGCCGTTGGTCGCGTACAAGGCGCGGACGACGTAGAGACAAAGGATAAGATTGCCGAGAAGCAGCTGCGCGACGCACCACATCGCGCACGGCCGCGTGTAGCCGTCGCGCGCGAGCATCCAAAAGCAAACAAAGAGGTAGCCTGTCAGGAGGTTGGCGCCCATCGCGTCGATCGAGACGGCGAGCTTGGCGAGCGAGAAGAGGCCAAACGACGAGGTGGAGCCGGACGCGCCGAGGAGCGACGCCAAGTCGAGCATGCACAGAACGACGCCACATAGCGTCGCGACGACCCAGACGATGGGCGCTGCGTGGCGGCCGAGCTCGGCGGGCTCGGCGGCGTCGTCGGCTGCGCGCACGATCATGGTCCGGATACCGTGCCACCAGTTGTTTGCCGGCAATCAACCGAACGACGTTGAAGTGGCCGTCCGGATATCAAACCGGACGAAAGATCGCGACATTTTCTAGAAGTGCAAACTGGTCGCAACTGAGATTGCACTAAGAATCCAAGATGCCATCGCATTGGCACGCGCTTCTAGCCGCGCTTCTTGTGCTGATTGCCGACGCGGTTAGCGCATGGAGCTACGAGAACGTGCTTCGAGTCGACTCGGTGCAGGCGCTGCGGGCGTCGGGCATGGAATCCTCGCAGAAGCTCTGGGTTCTCTTGTACAGCGACGACACCGAGGCCAGCGCGCTCACCGCTCTCGACGACGTGGCGCGCGAGCTGCCATACGCCGTGCGCACAGCCTGGATCTCCAAGGAGGTTGCGACGGCCGTTGGCCTCCAGTCGCTCAACCCGCCGCTGCTCGTGCTCCTGCGCGAGAAGCCGACATGGAACCCCTACAAGGAGCGTCTCTTTCGCCCGCCCGAGCCAATGCCGATTGCGCCGAGCCAAATGGACCTTCGCACGCTCAAGAAGCTCGTGCGGGAGCGTGCGCCGTCGAACGTTCTTGCGGCTTGGAACATCTCGTGGCCGCCCAGTGAAACCCGCGTCGTGCTTCTGACCAAGAAGAAGACGCCATCGCTCTTGTACAAGGCGCTCTCGGTAGACTTTCCGTCGATACGATTTTACTTGGTGGCCGACGAAGGCGACGCGCATGGTCAATTCCCCGTTGTGTCCCTTCCGACGCTGCTCATGGGGACCTCGGAGGCCGACTACAAGGTCTTTCCATCAGAGAAGGACATGACGTCGTATGAAGACCTCGCGAGCTTTGTCCGCGACCATGCACCGCGCGACGACAACGCCGTCGACACAGCCGAGCCCAAGTGGCTCAGCACTGCCGCGCTAGAGGCGGTGCTTGCGGACGCCCGCGCCAGCAAAAACGCCACTGCGTGGCTCGTCCTAGCGCAGCCCGAGACCACATCGCCCATTGACATTGCCACAAGCACCGACTGGGCGCAGTGCGTCCAGGATATTCGCTCGAAAGCTGGTCTTCTCGTCCGCATCGCGCTCGTGCTGTGTGATGCACCGTGGTGTGATGAGAAGCCCGGCGTGTACCATCTCCCGTATGGAGCCAAAGGTTCGATCTCAGCTGCCTCGCTGTTGCCGCTGCCATCACTCGCTGTCGCCGCTGCGTCGGTGCTCCGCACACTGCCCGACACGACGTCGGGGCTCTACGGCAGCACCGACTTGAACGCGTTTTTTGGTCGCATGCTCTCGAGTGACACGCTCAGCTTTGTCCTCTTCACGACCAAGGACGAGGCCCCGACCGTCGTGCAAGCCGTCGCACTTGCCTACGCGCACCGTCTGCAGTTTGGCGTCGTCTACAAGCCGTCGCCCGAGATCAAGGCGCAGTTTGGCATTGGCCACGTGCCGTCCATGGTCGCGTTCATGACGCCGCGCGATCCGGACGTGCCAAAGGAGCAATTCTCGATGGCCTTTTACGACAAGAAGCAACTCGGACCGCCGACGTTTGAGAACATTGCGCGCTTCCTCGACCAGCTCCTTGCGTCGTACGGCCCGGTGCCCGCAACAACGGCCGAGCCGAGTCTTGTGCACGTCGACAGCAGTGAGAGCTTGGCGTCCATCTGCAATGGCGCAACCTTGTGTGTTGTCAGCGCTGTTGCCGACGCGATTGCGCCGCACAAAGCCATGCTTTTGGAGCTCGCACGTCAAAGCAAGGCGGCCGGCAGCCCCGTCGTGTACGTCTGGCTTGATGGCACGTGCCAAGCCAGCGTGGCCCAGCAGCTCGGTATCGAGAGCTGGCACTTGCCCAGCGTCGCGGTGTACTCGCCACTCAAGCACCGCGTTGCGTCGCACGCCGGTGTCTTTGACGTCGAGAGCGTCCAAGCCTTTGTGCACAGTGTTCTGTACGGCAAGACGCGAACGATCGCCATCGATGGACCGCTGGCGTGGACCGACCCAGCAACCTGCGTCGCGCGCGCAGCGGAGGTGGCTTTGCCGATTGTCGAGGAAGACGACGAAGAGATGGCCGACATGATGGCCGAGATCCTCGCCGACGAGGCCCGGGAAAAGGAGGCGCGGAAGCGCGCGCTGCAGGAAGAGATCGCGGCGGCCAAGAAGGCGGCAGAAGCTGCTGCGACGCCAACCAAGCCCAAGAAGAAGCTCAAGAAGAGAAAGAAGAGGACGACCAAGACGCCCGTAAAGGACGAATTGTAGTTGTACATATCGACATGTGCTAGGCACGAATCGCACAAGAAAAAATGAGAAAATTTATTGATGTATTGTGTGTAAAATTTGTGTTGGCAGTGTGCAAAGTCGACTTAGACCATGTAGCCCGGCAGCGTGTCCTTGGGCCCGAACGCGCACGTGCCCTTGTCGTACGCGTGGACCTGCGTCGCCATTTGTGCGATCGCGCAGCAGTTGCAGAAGAAGCCGCAGAGGCAGTCGACGCAGCAGTTGCCCGGAATCTGGAGCTTGCTGCGGACAATGTTGCGCACAATCATGACGCAAATACCGCATGCGAGGCCGGCGCTGCTCGAGACGGCCGCCCAGTAGCTGTACTGCGTATCGAAGACGTAGCCTTGGTTCGTGTACGTGACGTACTGCCCTGCGACACTCCTGCGACGAGTACCCTGCGACGGCCGACGTACACCAGACCAAAGACGAAGAGACCCGTCATGTACGAGCCGAGACCGATGCGGTGTACGATCTGAGCAAGCGAGACGCACGGGCACCAGTAGGCCATGCAGCAGTTGGGAATGACGTCGGTGAAGCAGCCGCAGATACCAGCCTTCCACTGGCCGACGACGAGGTTGTTGGCGTCGACCTCCATGCCGTCGGGCACAGTCGTCGTTGGCTTGGCCGATGGCGGTGCCGTCTTGGAAATAGTAGCGGTTGGTGGGCTGGGCAGTGCTCATAGTCGTGATGTGCGTAGCCAACGGCAAATGCAATTATGTTGACGTAGAAACTGAGTGGCATGCAGAAATCCAGAAAAAACATTTCATTCCAGTGCACATCTGGTACGAGAGCCAGCCAAATCTCATCCTTGTCTCGAAGAGAGTCATTCTAGTTCAGTTGTTGTCGAGCACTGTGTGAGCTACAACTCGTAGCGCACCAGAGTACACAGGTCGGTGGTACTCTTGTACAACGCGTTGAGAGCGTGTACAATGGAAGAGTATACTCGTCCAGCAT